CCCGTTACATTTAAAAAACCGCGTTGTACTGACACTGCATACGATGACCCCTTTCCCCTCGACAATGGGCAGCCATTTTGTTGATGTTTTCGCTCGTTATCTCAAAGTGCGGATGTCATGACCTATGGGGGTCACACACCCCAACACTGTCCAAGGAGAAAGCCGTGAAATTTGGGAGATGGCTGCAACGTGCAATTTTGAATAAACTGACACTAGCTTTTTAAATTTTTAAATATTCCTACTTTGACATTAAGACTTTTCACCATTGGCTAACATACTGTTTTGAAGTCGCCAAACGATAATTTTTTGTTTTTTATTGCAAGACACATTAGTATCATTTGCTGCTTTGGTCAAGCCTAATGTCTTGTAGTTATTACATAGGTAGTATTTATAGCTCAAAGCTAATATATTATTTATATATTATATATAAGATATATTTATATGATTAATATATTATCAATATTAAAGCTTTTAAAGTTTGAAACTTGTTTCTCAGATAGCGTGTTTTCACTGTAATTTACTATTTTCATAATTACTTAACTGATAATGATTTTTAAAATTTAAAAAGCCCTGAATATTTTAAATCCTTGAATGGAATACTTTGAGAAAATCAGAGAAACTCCCACTTTTGTAGATGAGGGGGCCAAGAAAGAGTAAGTGAGTAGCCCTAACACATCCCCGTCCCTATCTCTCCTCGCCTCTTTTTCTGTTTGTTACTCTCTTGTTACAACCTCTAATCTTACGCACTTCTATGACAATTGTGTTGCAAGTACCGTAAAACCGTGACTAAAACGAAACTTATTCCAACAAACAAATAGGTAATATTCTAACTGTGTTGCAAGTGCTGTAAAACCGTGACTAAAATGAAACTTATTCCAACAAACAAATGGTAATGTTCTAACTGTGTTGCAAGTGCCGTAAAACTCTGACTAAAACTGAAAGCTTAAAGAAAATGTATTTCTCTCCCGCGGTTCGCTCAGCCCTGAAGAGTTACGCGGACGCAGCCCACGAGGAGTTCCTGCACCAGTGTGACGACACAGACGACGCGACGAGCCCCATGACTGACGTCAGTGTCACCGATGCCCTGCGAGCCCGCGCGGGGGACCACGGCGCCGACACAGAGCTCATGGAGCTGTCCCTGGCCGCAGGGGAGAACGGACACTCGCACACGCACGGTCACCACAGCCCGGCGCTGGGCCACGGGGGGCACTCACACGGAGGTCACGGGGGGCACGGAGGTCACGGCCACTCCCACTCGGTGCCCAACTCTGTAGCAGCTGTGGCCTGGATGGTTATACTGGGTGAGTGCTTGGTTGGTTTGTTTGTTTGTTTGTGTGTATGTTTGTAGGTTTGTTAATTGATGTGTGTGTGTGTGTGGGTCACTCTCACTCCGCGGGTGGTTGATGTGTATGTGTTTTTGTGAGTGTGTGCGTGTGTGAATATTGTTCATACATGCATATTTATGTAAAGCGCCTAGAGCTTTGTTTACATGCGAGTGGGTGGGATAGAAATGATCTTCATTATTGTTATGACTAAACTATCCCCCTGTAGGATGACATTATTGTTATGATGACTAAACTATCCCCCTGTAGGATGACATTATTGTTATGATGACTAAACTATCCCTCGTATGATACCCCAGGTGACGGGATCCACAACTTCAGCGACGGGCTGGCCATCGGAGCGGCCTTTGCCAGCAGCATCACGGGAGGATTCAGTACCTCTGTCGCTGTGTTCTGTCATGAGCTGCCACACGAGATAGGTGTGTGGGTGTGTGTGTGTGTGTGTGTGTGTGTTTGTAGCTGTGTTCTGTCACGAGCTGCCACACGAGATAGGTGGGTGTGTGTGTGGGTGTGTGTGTGTGTTACTCTTTCTTTCCTATCAGACATCTATCGTTCTTATCTCTCCTCCTTCTAATCTCTGTATGTTACTCTGAAATGACAATCCCTAACCCTCTTCTATATGCCACAACATGGTGGAACCTGGTGCCAGTCAAGTTTTCTGAAAGTTTGGTTATTTTTCTTTTTTTGGGGGGCACAAATAGCCAGCTATGTTGACTTGAACTGAGGATGTTTGCTGTGGAAAGTGGTCTACTGGGGTCAGAGGGGAGATGTTTGCTGTGGTCTACTGGGGTCAGAGGTGAGATGTTTGCTGTGGTCTACTGGGGTCAGAGGTGAGATGTTTGCTGTGGTCTACTGGGGTCAGAGGTGAGATGTTTGCTG